GACAGCTACGCGGGCTCCATCCCGCTGCTCGTCATCGCCTTCTGCGAGATGTTCGCCGTCGTGTATGTGTACGGCGTGGACAGGTAGGAGGGAGGCCGTGGCGGCAGGCGGTTTCCAACGGGGTCAGTGGGTCAGCTTTTGGGGTGGGGCAGGACAGTGCCGCCGCGACTTGGGGCCGAGCGTGCACGGGCTTGACGCCTGTGTGGCCGAGGGCAGAGGGGCTGGGCCACGGACGGATGTCCACCAGAGCGGTCCGCACAGTGTGCCCTCCAGCTTCCAGACGCTTCTGGACCCGGCAGACGGGGCACTCGCCAGCATCTTGGGGTGGAAGGAGAGCAAAGCGCTACCGTGGAGGGAAGTGGAGACCGTGTGGCCTGAGTCGCAGGGTAGGAAAGGTCGTCACTGAACCATCAGTTGAAGGCGAAATACTACCATGTCCCGCGCAGGCGGCCCGAGTCCCACACAGGCAGCCCGAGACGCGGGCAGATGGGCCGGGTGGGCAGAGCAGCCCCGGGGCCGGGTTACGGGCAGCAGACATGAGGGCCAGGTGTGGGCAATGGGGCTCCCACTGCAGAGATCCAGGCTGCCCCATGGGGTCCCAAGGAGGCCACCAGGCCCAAGGGGAGGGAGCTCCATCGTGGGGTGCTCCAGGCCTTTCTAGACAGACAGAAGAAAAGTGGGTGAGCAGGCTCGTCTGAGGTCTATGTGGCCAGACACTCAGGACATCAGGCCCTGATCAGAGAGGACCACAGGCCCAGAACATGGCACCTGGGCTCTCGCTGGGAGATGGGCTCCCCAGGGCCTCAGAGACCACCTGCCTGCGTCTGTTACCATAAAGCACATACACGCCGTTGGAGAGCCTCCTCTACACCCACAAGAGCTCCCTGCACGAATGCGGATTTGCACAACACACCGCGAACCCGCCTGGGAGCCAGGGAGTGTGTGGGGGGTTGCCGCCACGACGCCAGCAGACACGGCGGAGGAAGGTGATGCGGACCTGTGACAGGCTGCGTGAGGGCACGGCTGTCTGTGACCGTCTGAGGACAGTTTGAAGCCAGACGCTGGCAGAGCACCGTTCAACACGCCGTAGGGAGGACAGCCCTGCGCACAGGAGACTCCTGCTGGGTCCCACCTGGGGACGAGGCCTGGCCAGCAGTGTCCTGTGGACTCTCTGCGGCCCTGGACAGTGTGTGGCCACGTTCTGCGTGCTCCACGCCGACATCTAGAGACAGTGGACTCCGGTGCAGAAGAGAGTCCGGCCCGGACGGGCGGGAGACGGTGCAAGGCTACAGCCCCGGTGGGAGGCTGGGAGGGGGCTGCTGGCCGGGCCGTCCTCCGCCATAGATGCACGGGCCGCAGCTCTGCACGAGTCCACGCGGCGAGTTTACCGTCTGGAGCTCCGGGCAGCTGCACTGCGGACAGTGGAACGTCCCGCTGGCATCCCAAGGGGGCTTCTGATGCAGGAACTGGGCTCTCCTGGAGGCGGCGGGTCTCTGGGCAGAGGAAGACGGGGCTGGGGCACCGGAGATGGCGACGCCATCAGGGTTGCACGGCCGGCCGCCCGCTGCTGCGCCGGGGTCGCTGGCCTGTGGAGAAACCCCTGATGGCTTCCTTCCCACCTTGTGTCCAGGTTTAACAGGGACATCGAGTTCATGATCGGCCACAAGCCCAACATCTTCTGGCAAGTCGCATGGAGAGTGGCCAGCCCGCTGCTCATGCTGGTCATCTTACTGTTCTTCCTCGTGGTCAAGGTCAACGAGGAGCTGGTCTACAGTGTCTGGGACCCTGCCTACGTGAGCCGCGGGGCGGCCGGGGGGCACAGGGGCGGTCTTGCTCCTGTAGGGTGGGGAGCCTGGGGTGTACCTCCCCTCCCCCACAAGGGCCAGGAGCTGACCCGCGGGGCGGGGGCGCTTGCCCCGAGGGAGACCCCGCGGGCTGCTCACTGCTGCTCTCTCCCCAGGAGGAATTTCCCAAATCCCAGAAGGTCACATACCCGGGCTGGGTGTACGCTGTGGTCGTCATCGTGGCTGGGGTGCCCTGCCTGGTCATCCCCGGCTTTGCCATCTACAAGCTGCTCCAGAACCGCTGCCAGAGGCCAGGGGACCGCCAGGGGCTGGTCAGTGGGCTGTCCACGGCCTCTGTCAATGGGGACCTGAAGTCCTGAGTGGCACAGCCCAGCGTGTGTGGCTGTTGGTGTTGGGAAGTTCCAGGCCACACACGTGTGTGCACATGTGAGTGTGTGTGTGTTTATGTGTACTGTAGGATCTCACACATGTGAGCGTGCATGTGTGTGCGAGTGCATGTGCATAAGTGTGCGTGAGTGTGCTTGTGCTACACAGGTATGCGGGGGTGTGCGTGTGTGCGTGTGCGTGTGCAGAAGTTCGTGTACACGTGTGAGAGTGTGACATGTAGGACTGTGCATGGGGGGCTGTAGGGAAGCGTGTGTGATGCGTGTATGTGGTCATGTCTAAGTGTGTGCACGTGTTTGAGGATTTGTGGGCATGTGCGTACATGTGCTGTGTGTGTGACTGTGGCTCGTGTGTGTGTTGTACAAACGTGTTGGGCGCACGTGTGTTTGTGCACACACGGCCATGTGTCCATGTTTGTGTGTATACACACACGCACGCACACACGCCTGCTGCACAACCCCAGGGCCCTCGCGCCTGCCTTTGTCACGGGTGTGGGGGGCGGGTGCTGCTGCCCGGTCCCGCCATGTCTGCGTGAGGGAGAGTCCTGGCCGGGGTGTCGTGGGAGGCCGAGCTGCCAGCAGGAAACGGGAGCAGGATGCGGCCTCGGCCGCTCAGCTCCAGTCCTATCGACCCTCGACCCAGGAGCTCACAGCGAGGTCGGGCACTGGTCCCCCGCGATGAGAATGGCCCTTCTCGAGCTCCTCGCTGTGAGCTCCGGAGCTCTGTGAGTCCCTCGGAGGCCTGGCCGCCCGCCCGCCGGCCTCGGCGGAATGTGGACTCCGAGACAGCCGACCCCATTAATCATTGCTCCTGGCTGCCGCGGATAGGTGAGCGGTCGACGAAACTCAGCTCGGCCTAAGTGAAGGCGGAAACCAGCCTTTGAGTTTTCGTAAGAGGGCATATTCCCTGCATGATTTTTAGCTAGGTGTTGGAAAAGGCGAGTTATAGGGTAACTCGGCCTTAGCCACCAAGGTCGAGGACCGTCCGTGTGTCCCGAACTCGGCAGGGACCGGGAAGCCCACGTACTTGGCGTCCCTCGTTGAAGTTGGTGCTGGCTCTCCCCTCCCCGTCATGGGAACGGTTGTTTTCTGGGATTCGACAGCCTGTCTCAGCCAAAGTCCCTGGGCACGTAGGGCGGCCGTGTTAATGAGCTCACCTCCACTCTCCATGGAAAAATCTCGAAGTTTATGTAGCTGGGTTTTCTGATCATCCGCTGGGCCAGGGTGGGGACCTGGGTGGAGGATGGATCCCCTAGCCATGTCCCCCCTACTCAGATGCCCCAGGGCCCTGTCCCTGTCCCCCTGCCTCCCGCTCCTCGGAGACACAAAGTTCAGCCCTGCAGCCCTGCTGTGAACCTCCAAACACCGGCATCTGCAGTCCTCTTACGCTGCTGGTCACCTGGCTGCCTGCAGAATCCTCAGGGGCTAACGGCGTGCTGTGCAGGGCCCCCGTCCCGCCACACTCCAGCCTCCACCCTCCTCTCAACACCCCCCCCCCAACTGAGAGAACAGCGAGCAGCCCCCCATGGATACACCACCCGCCCAGGGCAGGTGGGGAGGAGACGGGTGGGTGTGGCCCAGGACGCCCATCCAGTATTCTGTCCCCTGAAGAGCGCCTTGTTTTGCAACCTGGTGTATTTGCAAGTTGTTGGAAATGCAGGATTTGTGGGCATAACATGCACCTGTCTAAATAAATCACTATTTCATAGTCTCAGCCTAAGTGTTGTCTAGATGCAGAGGGTTGAGCACATAGCGGGGCCCAGTCACTCAGGGGAGCGCAGGACGGCGGTTCTGGGGGGGTCGTTTTCTCTGGAGAAGTCATGACACAAAACTGCTGCGTCCACGGTGCCCTGGGCATGGTGTGTGGCTCTGCGGAGGCAGGAGGAGGGTGGGCCGTGGGCTCAGGGCCGTGGTGCCCCAGTGAGGTCAGGTCCGCTGGGTTGGGGGCTGTACTCCTGCCCTCCCCGTGCTTCCCTTCCCTTTCTCCCATTCCCCTCCCACCCAAGAGTCAGTGGAAGTGTGTCCACCAGGGCCCACACCTCTGTGACCCACGTATTCGGGCCCATGTGAGACCAGTGTCCCGGCAGGTGGGAATTTCACATCCGGGCCCCAGGCTGTCCCACAGGCATCCACTGGGGGTCCACGGGTCCAGGAGACCCCGCGGGAGGCCCAGGCTGAGTCTACTGCGTCAGCCCATCACGGACCATCCCACCGCAGGAGGACCCCATGCAGAGGGGACGATTTGCATGTCCCCCCGCCTGGCTGAGCCCCTGTGGCCACGGGTGCCTTGCTGTCCCACCGCTGCCTGAGGGCACCCGTGGCCGCTGGGGGCAAGAAAAGAAGCCCCTCCCGCCCCTGCCCTTGCCCCCGCCCCATCAGGGGAGCCCCACCCCTCCCCCAACCTGTGTCCCTGCACGTGGTGGGTGCCTGTGGGGGCCTGGGACTCGTGCAGTCACGGCTCTGCGTCACCCCTCACGGTGACAAGTGAGGCTACAGTTGTCCCGGAATCAGAGGGTTGATTAGGAAGTCAGTGGTTTTTATGAAACAACTAAACGAGCCAGTCTTGGGAGTCCTGGCACGTCCCCGACGGGGAACAGGATGCCCTCACCGGATGCGGGCTGGCCATCGGCCTCGGGCACCAAAGGAGGCGCAGGCAGAGGGTGTGGGGTCAGGAAGGGACCGCCTGGGTGAGAGCAGGAGCCCGGCCCCGGTTACCAATTAACTGGCTCCACTGGTTTTCCTTTAAATCGTGAGACCACACACAGAGGCCCGGGAGGGTTCCACGGAGCCAGGGCAGGAGCGAGCAGCGGGCATGGCGTGGGCCGGGGGAGCAGAGCCGCGTGGGGATGGCCGCGGGGACAAGAGGCCGGCATGGGACAACAGGTGCCAGTACCTGCTGAGCTGCATTGGCTTCGCCGTGGGCCTCGGTAACATCTGGAGGTTCCCGTACCTGTGCCAGACCCACGGCGGAGGTGAGCCGTCCCTGCGAGCCCCGCGCCGGGAGCCCGTGAGTGGAGGTCCGGCCCCTGGCCGCCCCTTCCGGGGCTCGGGGGGCTCCCCCAGCACCGCTCCTCACAAGGCTCCTGCAGCTCCGTGGGGTACGCATGGGCCAGGCCTCCCCCCACATCGGTTCCCAGGCCGTGGCACCCCCTCCCTGCACAAGAGTCCGTGGTTGTCACCCACAGCCCCGGGAATGGACCCTGAACGGCCCCCAGGCCAGGCCTGTCCTTTTCCGGGGTGCGACCTTGGGGCCCGTGGGGTCTCAGTGTCAGGTCAGCTTGCTGCCAAGCTCCCCTCTGCACGCGTAAGGCCTGAGGCCTCCAGAAGTCCTCTAGGGCCGTCTCCCCGCATCCACCGGGCCCCCTGCTGGAAGTGGGGGTGCTGTTCCCTTCGGGGGCGATTCCCCTGGCCCCCACCAGGAACAGGTCAGAAACGAAGGTCTGTGTGTGGCTGGTGGGGAGTCGTCCTGGCCCCTTGCCCCCACCCCGGCCGTGCTGGGTGCACAGGGGTCAGGCCGCGCCGGGGGAGTGTGGGCTGGGGGTCTGCGGGAGCCACCGTGGAACAGAGCAGGCAGGGGGCAGGGCCGGAGGTGGAGTCCCCGGTTTATGAGGAAGCTGCTTCCTGGGGGTCTATTCGGTTTTCCTGCTTATGAGAAGTTAGAGGAGACATCTCTGCGGGAGCCGCTGTCCCAGAGGTGTCAGAGCTTCCACGGGGGCCTGGGGCCAGGCGGGCACATGTGCCTTGGGTCGTGCCCCGGGCCTCCAAGCTGCCGTGTGCATCGGGAGAGGCACATGCAGACGCCCAGCAGTGACCTGCACACTGGCAGTCACTCCCGGTCAGTAAATGCAGCTCTGACTGGAACCGGCTGGCCGTCACACGGCGCTACAGTGTGCAGGGACTGTCCTGCGTTGGCTTCCGGAACCCGTGTGCTGGCGTGGCGTGGCCTGGCCTGAGGGCTATGACCCGGGCACTGGGCACCAGGACCAGCCCGTCACCACCTGCACTCACGGGCCGGGGGAGGGGGCCCTGCTGTTTGAATACTTCTTTTAGACCCTATTTCTGGGTGTGAAGCCCTTCCTGAAATGTCATAAAATAGTCAAGTTTCAAAGTTGCCCCTTTTCCTAAACAAGCACCCTCCCGCACAAACGACCTTTTTGCCTCACTTGGGCCACTGCTGATAACCTCGACGAAGAGATGAGCGGAAACCCTGTTGCATTTTTATTCTGCACAAACTCATGACCCGAGGGTGAATATTTTCTCTCTTTTCAGCGATTACTCAGATCTGTAGGCTTCTCCTTAGCGATAAGACTTAAAAGGCAACATTGCGGCAGAATTGGGGGAAACACTCAGCACACCTGCGGGCGTCCTACCCCGTCTCCGCGGCTCCTGGATGCACATCAGCACCCGCCCTGCAGGTGGGGATCCTAGCAGTGGCCGGCGCAGGGCACCCGCCAGGGCCCAAGGTTCCAGCCCGGGAGTCATTCATGACCCTGGCCATGGCAACACGCGTGGGGCACCCAGTGGTGGCCCGCGATCTCCGCACGGCTGTGTTGTGACCTCGGCACCCATGGGTTCCACGGAGCTGGTGGAGTCGCCACGTGATGAGCCCAGGGTGACCGTCCATGCAGCTGCCCAGCGGGATGCCTGCCCTGGCTCTGCACTGGCCGTCGCCGTCCCCTGCAGGCTTCCCAGCCAGGCTGTCGGTTCCACGGAAGACTCCCGGGTTTCACGGGCATAGCGTGGCATTTCCAGATGGTCTGGAGCCCAATGTTCATCTTGGCATCACCATGTCGTCCCAGCCACAGAGACAATCACGTGCCCGCCCTGGTCTCCGTCCTTTGTTTTCTCTCCAGGCGGTCTTGGGGGTATCGCTCCACGGATCCTCAGCCGTGACAGGCTCCGTCCCGATCAGACAGAACTTCTCCGCAACATCTCAGTGGACAGGGCTGGGTATCTCTCACCCAGCTCTGCTCGGGCTGGCTGTGCTCGGGGCTCTCCCAGCCATCTCGCCAGCCCGCCCTCCCGCCCGGGAGAAACTCCTTTTCTCTCTTCGTCTGACCCCACCGCGTGAGGGTTTTGCCCACACCGCCGATTCTCCCAATCCTAGCCGCATTTAACCCGTTTCTGCCGGTCTACCAGCAGCAAGTGCGGGCTGGACGAGGAAGGGCTCGGCCCGCGGTGCTGTTGCACGGCAGAGCACAGTGTCAAGACCTGGGTTCCAGGTCACCCACGGCATCCGCCCAACCTGTGGCAAGTTGGGAGCGCCGACAACCCCTCCTCGTGTCAGAATCTTGTAGAAGGGCTCACAGAACCCATGAAGCAGTCCACTCACTGTACCGGGTTTTTATAGAGAGCACGACCCGGAGCAGCCACGGGCAGGGACGCACAGAGTGAGGGCGTCGGAGCTCCCCGCTCCCTCCAGCACCTCCCGGGCTCCCCCGCCTGGAGCCGTCCAAGCCACGCAGCCTACGGTTTTCACGGAGGTTCCATTCTGCAGGCGCCGGTGATGGAGTCACCAGCCTGGGTGATGAGCCGTCTCTGGGCCCTACGCCCAGCCTGGAAGCCGAAGTGGGGCTCCACGTCCCGCCTCTCCGATCGCGTGGCTGGGTTGTCTGGGGACCGGCCGCCTCTTCCAGAGGTTTTTATCCAGGTTGCGGTTCGCGTGGGTTTCAGACGGGGCCACAGTGCACCGAGCAAGCAGTAGTCTCCGTTTGTGACCACAGAGCCGCTCCCTTCTCTTCTCCCTGAAGCGTGGCTGATTTGGCTGCGAAGAGGAAGGCCCCTCCCTTCCCCGGCACTGCTCCTCCTGGTGTCCCGGCTGGGCCCGCTGGCTGTGACCCTCCCCGCAGAGCAGGGTCCATGGGTCCTGGCCGGCCTGAGCCTGCAGGGCCCTTCCAGGCAGCGAGTCACACACCTGGGACCCAGAGCCCCTGTCTGACGCCCAGATACCCACTCCTGGGCTCCGGGCAGCTGGTCCCCTGTCCCTACCATGTTGCAGGTGTTTCTGTGAGGCCCAAGGGGGGCTGGGAGGTGCACACACCTGCGCGGGACCCCACAGAGCGAGGCGCAGGTGGGGTGGGGTGGGAAGAGGGCAGCCTGGGGAGGGGTCCCCCATCTGGACCCTATCTCCCTGGCCCATGGCTGGCCTCTCTCCCTGCCAGGGGCTCCGTGAAGTGGTCCGGGCTATATTCACAGCCCAGCATCAAGCCCCTGCCCGCAGGTACCCGGCTCGTCCCTGAGGCTACGGCAGCCCTCAAGGCCATCTCCCAGAATTCCACCTTGTTCTCTCATGCTTCTTTACAGTCTGGCCACGACGTGGATGACACCAGCAAGCACTGTTTGTCCCAAACGCTGGCGTCCTATGCAGAAGCTGATGCGGGCTGAGGGGCTACCTGTCCTCTCCGGGGCCCTGGCTCAGGGTCAAAACCTCTGAGCGAGACGCAAAATCCCAGAGAGAGCCTGGCCTCATGGAGGCTGGGCTGGTGCCAGGCTGCTGGCGTGGTCTTCCCTGTGTGTGGGGGGGGCAGTGGACCACACACTGCAGTTAACTGGGAGAAAGCGCAGCTCCCAACTGCACAGGGACTCCCTTCCCCCAGCAGTATGGGAACATGCACCGTCCTGTGGGGTGCAGGAGCCGGCACCCCACATACGCCCCCAGGCGATCTGGTGGGCCCCTCAGGGCTGTGGGTTCCCGGGAAGGCCGGGCCCCTCCCTCCTCACACCTGTGGCCTTTCTCCTGCTCCGGCCAGGGCTGGCTCCTGGGGGAGAAAATTGTGGCTCTCCCATGGATCCCACAGAGGGGGTCAGTGTGTGTTCCCTTGGGGACCACGGAGCCTCCTGCCACCGTGGCTACAGGTGCCCACCTCCCAGCCTGGACGCCCAGGCACGGAGAGACAGGTCCCAGCCTCCGCGCAGGCATGGAGCTCCAGACACCGTTTCAAATGTCCTCCTTCTCCGACATTCTGCCAGGAGCACAGACCAGCCCCACATTACAGCAGGGTCCATAATCGGGGTGCGGGGTGTCCCTCTAAGAACAACACTGCCCCCAGGGGCTCAGAGGTGGGACGCTGCTGAGGGATTGGAAATAACCACAGGCCAGGTGCCTGACGCGTAGGCCCATCTCCCCCAGCCCAAGGCCACACCGGGCCGTCGTCCACCCTCCACTGACCACGGTGTCTTTGCAGGGGCCTTCCTCATCCCCTACCTCATTGCGCTGGTCCTTGAGGGGATCCCCATCTTCTACATTGAGCTGGCCATCGGCCAGCGCCTGCAGAGAGGGAGCATTGGGGTGTGGACGGCCATCTCGCCCTACCTGGGCGGAGTGGGTAGGCTGCCCGCCTCGGACCCCTGCCCGGAGCTGCTGGGAGGGCGGGGCTGGGGGCCCCGTGGGTGCCCTGCATCAGCTTGTCACTCCAGTGCACAATCAGTGGCTTTGACCCTGCCGGAGAGGGGCCCGGTAGGGAGGTGCGTGTGGGTGGGGAGGGTAGGGCGGTACTTGTGGCCGCGTTCCCGTGGGAGCTCAGTCTGCTCATGCTCTCAGCACACCTCTTCCAGGAGGCCCGCTTTGGTTCCCGCAAAGCCCCAGGAGGCAGCTGGGTGCAGGGTGCTGGTGGGGTGAGCTCAGGGCACAGGAGGGGGAGGCAGCAGGCCCAGCCCCACGGAGCAGCAGCGAGCTCTCCCAGATCACCCACGCACGTGTCCCCACGGGTGTTGAGCCCACATGTCCTGGGAGCCTGAGAGTGTCCAGCGAGGCCTGGACAGAGGGAGGGAGCCTGTGACGCGCCCCGCACAGGGCTGCAGCACTGTGTGCAAGGCCCACCGGAAAGCCCATGCAGAGGCAGACCCCGGCCCGGCTGTGGGTGGAGCCACACGGCCCTGGAAAAGACATGTTGCTCTTGGGTGCACGCAGCCAGCTGTGGGCCAGCAGTGGGGCGGGCGGCCTCGGGGCGACAGGGAGCAGGGTGGGGTGCCGTGTCTGGAGCCCAGCGGCCGGGGAGGGGGAGGCGCTGACCACCGCCTCCTGCAGGGCTGGGCTGCCTCACCGTGTCCTTCCTGGTCAGCCTGTACTACAACACGGTCCTCTCGTGGGTGCTGTGGTACCTGCTCAACTCCTTCCAGGACCCGCTGCCCTGGAGCTCCTGCCCGCTGGACATCAACCACACAGGTAGCACGGGTGGGGGGGCGGCACCCTGCCTCACTCGGGCCCTGCTCAGGTTCCCCAGACGGCACACCCGGAACCCTGCTCTCCCTACTCTGCCGCACCTGACCGTGGGTGGGCCCAGGGCCCCCGTGTATTCACAGCCCGGCCGCGTGCATGCCTGCCCCGCAGTGAGAGGCTGAGTGGGTGGGAACTCGGCTCCTGCTGGATCGGTCCAACCCTCAGCCACGGTTTCAGCAGAGGACGGCCTCACAGCCCGGGAAAAAGTCGCTATTTTGCTCTGCTTCACAAAACTGTGTTAACCCTCCTTCCCTTCCTGCCTCTGCTGACAATAACTTGGCCTGTCCTGCACAAGGCCAGCCCAGGGGCAAGTCTGGGCCTGGAGCTCCCTATACCCACCCTCTGGCCCTTGCTGCGTGCCCTGGGCTGGGTTACCACAGACTGCACTCCGGGGCAGAGGCCTGCAGAGCCACAGCCAGGCCCGAGCCCTGTGGCCAGCCCCTGAAAGGAGCCTCCTGGTTCCAGCATTCGAGGCCGAGTGCCAAGCCAGCAGCACTGTGAGCTACTTCTGGTACCGGCAGACGCTGAACATCACGGCCGACATCAGCGACAACGGCTCCATCCAGTGGAGGCTGCTGGCCTGCTTGGCTGCCTCCTGGGCAGTGGTGTACCTGTGTGTCATCAGAGGCATCGAAACCACAGGGAAGGTGCGGCCCCGCGGTGGACCCCACTGCCTGCTCCCTCCAGCTCGGTGTTCAAGCACGGGTTTAGAAGCTGCGCTGGGAGGGCGCAGATGTGAGGGCCAGTGCGCTCCCTGGAGATGGGCGCCTGTACCCGGCGACACAGTGCAGACACCGATGGGGGGTTTTCTCCCCTCTTTTCCTTTTAACCCGTTTGGGTCTCTAGGTTTTAAGTGTGTTTCTCTTGATGTGCACAGAGGATCCTGAGTTTCTGGCGGTCCCTGCCCTTGTTTCACTGTTTAGACCGTTTACGTTTAGTGTGACCATCAGTGCAGGTTCTGCCGGCTGTCCTGTGATTGTTTCCTGCCCGTCCCCTCGGTTCTCCACTCTGGCTGCTCCCATTTCCTGGGTGTTTCTTGTGACCCCGCTCTGTCCGTCTGTTGGCTCGTCAGTGGTAACGGTTCTCCCCTCAGGGCTGGACAACAGGCTTGGCCATCTGTCCTTCTGGGAGTGATGCCACCCATGGGATGAGGCAGGAGACCCTCACTCAGGCTGCACTCCTTCCTCAGCTTTCCTGCCGCTGGTTCACATTTCACTACGACGGTCTGCGAGCAGCCAGTGTGTCCTGGCGTGCTTGTCTGAAACGGTTTACTGTCTCCTGAAGAGACATACATCAGTGACAGGGAGAAACGTGTCAGCGGCTCCTCACGTGGTTTCTGTGCAGGCCTGGGCCTCCGTCTTGCACGCCTGCCTTCCCTCCCCTCTCCTGGGGCTCAGACAAGTCCCGCGCTACACGTGTCCTCCTGTTCAACGTGGGTGACATAGCCCCTTGCCTTCCCCAACCGTGGCTCCGACACACGATTGTGGCCCTTCTGCCCAGGTCCAGGTGTGGGCATGTGCCTGCTCATCTCAGTCCCGTGAGCGTCTTTGTGCTTGGGAGGACCAGAACTACTGCATTAGACCAAAGCAACCATTAGGCCCGACAACCCACCACAAATTCCAGAGACCCCTGAGATGGAAGTCCCCGCAGGGCACCGGGATGACAGTCAGTCTGTGCTTGGGGACTGGGGCGGCAGTGAGGAAAGATTGTCATCGTGGATTTATTCTGAGCAGACCCCATGTGTGCAGACCCCCGACCACACCTGACGGCAGAGGGGGCACTGGTCCTATGCTGGGGAGATGGGTGTGGGCACATGTGTGGCCCCAGGGCCCCTGTGAAGTGGCCGGCTGTGGGCACTGGGGTGGAGGGGAGAGGTGCAGTGTGGGTAAGAGGGAGGCTCGCCCGCCTGGGACAGTCAGTGCCCACCCCAGACACAAGTGCGCATGTGACTCCACTTGTGACCGTCCCCAGGAGCGCCAGACCCTTGGGTCCTGACTGGGGCCCACACACCCCATGGTGCCCTTGGCCCCCCCTGGGCTGGAATCCCAGACGATGGATGGGGGCCAGCCACAGAGGCACCTACCACAGCTGCCTCTTGCGGGTTTTCTGCGGAGCGGATACCACTGAAAAGTCTAATAATTTGGTCTTTTTTAAAGGCAATTTATTTCACAGCCCTGTTCCCTTACCTGGTCCTGACAATCTTCCTTATCCGAGGACTCACCCTGCCTGGGGCGGTCAGAGGGTTAATCTACCTGTTCACTCCGAATGTAAGTTGGTTTGAATTGAGTCCAGGTTCCAGGCTCCAGGAAACGCAAGAGTCATAGGCAGAGCCCAGCCCAGCTCGCTCCATCCCCTGGCTGTGCGAATGGCCACTAGGCAGAGGCCAGGCCGCCCAGGGCCGTGTACGGGTGAGGGCAGGGACGAGGGTGGTATGGGGTCCCAGGGAGGAGGTCAGGGTCAGAGGAACGGAGCAGGAGGAGGACTTGACTTGTGACATGGATCCTGAGGGATGTTGCTGGTGGGGTTCAGGAAAGAAGCCATCTGGAGGCCCAGATGTCCCACCCCAGAGCCCTGCACCCCATACCTCCGAGGACCTTGCGAGCTGCTCACACTATACCCAGCAAGCTGTCACAGGACCTGGGGGCCCGCACCCCTCTTAGACCCTCACACACTCTCTAGGACCCCAGCATTCTGTGGGAGCTTCCAGGGGCTGCACAGCAGCAGGAAGGGGGCCCTGGCTGTGAACGTGGGTCTGCCTGGCTCCGTCCCCAGCAGCAGAGACTCCAGGTGCCGAGTCCCAGCCACCGCGGGACACTTTGAATCCCTCAGAACCCCCAGGTCTGAGAGGAGCAGAATAAACACAGCAAGTCAGGCTGCTCAGACCCATTTCCCAGCCCTGAGCAGTCTGTCAGCCACACTCCAAGCCCACGCGGACAGGAGCCATGGCCCGTCACAGAACAGCGTGGCCGCGCTTGCTGAGGGAGCTGCCCTCTCGGCGGGGGTCCGCAGCTGCCCACACGCCTTCGGGGGAGTCGTCTCACAGGAAGCTGGGGCGGGGGGTTTCCGGGGCTGGTGGGTTCCGTCAGCGCACAACCCTTCCCAGGTGCGGACTCTCCGGAACCCGCAGGTGTGGCTGGATGCGGCCACGCAGATTTTCTTCTCCCTGTCCCTGGCCTTCGGGGGACACATTGCTTTTGCGAGTTACAACCCGCCCAGGTAGGGACCAGGCTCGGGGTGGGCTCCCTCCGACGCTGGGGCCGGGCCTCCCGTCCCGAAGCTCCAGGAGAGCCTCGTGCCCGTGGGGCGTAATGTCCCATGTGGCCTGCTGTGAACCTGTGCTAAGAGCAGGCTCACGGGGCTCCTACCACCGGGCCCCCACGGCAGCCACTAGCGTGTTCCGTGGAAAGAGCCCGGACAGTTGGTCCCTGGAACAAGGTCTCACCAGGGCTGACGCCAGCACAGGCAGCACAGATGTCATGCTCGAAGCCAGAGAAGTAGAGACACGGGGTCCATCAGCTCCCTGGTCACTTAAGATAAATGCAGGGCCCACATGGGGCCACCTGTGGTGAGGACCCCGGGTGCTTGGCCCCAAAGCACCACCCACTGCCTCACAAGCCCCTGGGGTTCTATGTGGCGGCCAGAGCTTCTCCCCTGCCAACGTGCAGGGGTGGGATGGGGGCGTGGGGGGCTTCCCAGGCCTGAACCAGACAAGGGACCACCTCAGCCCCCTCCACGTAGCTCGTGTGGAGATCATGTCAGCAAAGCCCACTCCAGGCTCCATGAGGCCCCACACTGTCCTTAGCTCCTGGTCTCCAGGCCTTGGGGACAGGGGTGGAGGCTGAGGCTTTTAGACCACCACCTTCTTGAGCTGGGGTAGGCGGGGCAGGGCCTGGTCGGGAGGGGGTTGAGGGGAAGGAGTCAGAGGGGAGGGGATCAGCTGGAGGGTAGGCAGGGAGGGGTCCATGGGGAGGGGCCATGGAAGGGGGTCTGAGACCATCCTGAGACCAGCAGGGACAGACCCAGGTATGGGGGCCGTGGGCATGTAGGCTCTGTGTGGGGGTGGTCCTAGGTGGGGATGTGGGGATGGCCCTACACACAGATGCGCCACGCGTGTGTGCCTGCCAGGAACAACTGTGAGAAGGACGCGGTGACCATCGCCCTGGTCAACAGCATGACTTCCTTGTATGCGTCCATTGCCGTGTTCTCGGTTTTGGGATTCAAGGCAGCCAACGACCACGGGCACTGCCTGGACAGGTGAGCATGGCGCCCTTGGCTCTGAGGGCGGGTGTCCACGGAGCACGGCCCTCAGGCACTCGCTGCCACTCTGGGGTCACTCAAGCACCGTCTTCCCCCCGGGGGTGAGGAGGAACAGCTCCAGAGGCCCGCGCCCCCCGCAGCCTGGAGCCTGACCCCATATGCAAGTGGGGTCTCCAGCCGACGCTGGCTAAGAGGAGGTCATACCGATCCCACACCTGTGTCCTTACGAGAGACTGGCGGGGACACGCAGACACACACGGGGGAGGCCGTGTCAGGAGGCAGAGGCTGGAGGGACGCAGCCACGAGCCTGGGGACACTGGGGCACCAGAATCTGTTTGTTCGAAGACTTTCGGTCTGTGGCCCCACCACGAACGCACAGGACACGGAGGCCGTCAGCATCACGGGCACGGAATGGCTAAGAACCGCAATTCTGGTTTGCAAGCAGCCCTCCAGAGGTGGTCGAGCAGGCCCCGTGGGGGGCGCAGGCTCAGCCCTCTGTAATGGTGCCGGGCATCCACAGTGCCCAGGGCAGCCCCCTGTCAGCCGTGACACCTGTGCGAACACACTCAGGCCATGTTCAGGCCATGCTCGCGGGCGTGAGTGGGGAGCCGGAGCAGATGCACAGCCTGAGCTCGGGCCCTATGGGCCATGTGCACCCGTTGGAATGTTCTGGAGAGGCTACAGGGCCCGCGTGGTGAACGGCGTGGTCCCCACTGGGGAACGGCAGGGGTGGCTCTTCCAGCTCTTTCCACCGAGCACCGTGCATGAGTCCGTGCTCACCGGGGCAGCCGGTACTCAGGCCTGCACGGGCTCCCCGGCCCAAGCCAACGGAAGGGATGCTTGTGACCGAACAAGGAGAAACCAGAGGGCCCCCAACCCGGGCCCCGGGCAACTCTTCCCAAGGCCACGAACGGTCCAGAAGCGCCACGAGTACTCATGTCGAGGTTACACGAGATTTCAGCAAGTGGGCAAAGGGAGTCCGGGGACATCCCCGGGCTTGTGTGAGCCGCGAGCCTTGAAGCCAGGGAACACCCGCTGGGGACGGCAGGTGGGGGGCTATCCAGGGCCGCTACTCTGACCTGCTGTGCCCTCGGGGGAGTGTCCCCTCCAGGCCAGGCTCTGTCCCTGCAGCGAGTGCAGCCCGGCCCTCCCCAGGTGCCGGTGTCCTTCCAGGTGTTTCCGGGTGCAGCGCGCCCGGCCTAGCGCGCCCCCGCCTGCCTGTGTCCCTGCAGAAACCTCCTTCGCCTCCTCAACGCGTTCGATCTCCCCGACCAGAGCATCTCCAGGGACGACTACGCCGCCGTCCTCGCGCACCTGAATGCCTCCCAGCCCGAGAGCGTGGCCAGGCTCCCCCTGGAGGTCTGCCACCTGGAGGACTTCCTGGATAAGGTACCCGCGGGGCCCGGCTTTGTTCCCGAAGGCTGCAAACCTTGTCCACAGAGCTGGCCCGGGCTGGCGTGGCAGCTGTGAACAGAGCCTCCAGGCCAGCCGTGTGCCTCTGTGGGGCTGAGCTTCCAGAAAGCCCGTGGCCTCAAACCCAGTGTGTCCGACGGGGCCCTGCCCAGGAGGCTGGAGACCAGGCCTACCCAGGATAGTGGGTGTTGCTGGTGCAGAGCTGGGCTGTGGCCAGTCGGGCAGCTGCGCCCAAGGAGGGGCAGCCGTGAACCCCTGGATATGGGGGTGATACCCCTGAGACCGGCACCCCAGGCCTGCGGCCCCCCGTGAGCTGCATGGTGATAGGGGGATGGGTTCCTTTCCTCAGAGGCACACCTGGGCTTGCCGTGTAGCCAGAAAAGGGCGGGGCTACCACCTTGCCCCGGGGCTGGGGGCGAGGGGTCCCCTGTGGGGTCACAACGCGAGGCCCCGTGCGCATGTTGCAGAGCGCCTCGGGCACCGGCCTGGCCTTCATCGTCTTCACGGAGGCCGTCCTCCACATGCCGGGTGCCCCCGGCTGGGCCGTGCTCTTCTTCGGGATGCTGTTCACCTTGGGCCTGTCGTCCATGTTTGGGAACATGGAGGGCATCATCACACCACTGCTGGACATGGGAGTCGTGCGCAGATCTGTCCCCAAGGAGGTCCTGACCGGTGAGCAGACAGCCAGCCCGCCCTGTGGGACTGTCCCCATGTCCTGCAGTCTGTCCACTGCCACCTGCTGTCCAGATGCCCTCCCTCCGTGACCGTCCCAGCAGGAGCCCAGGTCTGGTCCCGCCACCCCTCAGGGCCGGTCCCCATGGCTCTGCACTCACTCAACATCCCACGAGGAACATCGTGGGGGACCCTGGGGTCCGGCAGGGGCAGAGCAGGGGTGAGTCCCAGCGCTGCCCCCGGGACAGCAGGCCCCCATCATGCGTCCTCCTGCCCGCGGGCACGGCGCTGGGGGCGCCAGGGGCAGGGCGGTGGGCTCAGCCGCAGAGGTGCCGCTGTCCCTCCAGGCCTGGTCTGCCTGCTCTGCCTCCTCTTGGCCACCGGCTTCGCGCTGCAGTCGGGAAGCTACTGGCTACAGGTGTTCGACAACTACGCGGCTCCCCTGAACCTCATCATCTTTGCCTTCTTCGAGGTGGTCGGTGTCGCTTACGTGTACGGGATGCCCCGGTGAGTATGCGTCCCCTGCGGCTGCCCTCTCACTCCCGGCGCTCCCCCCCCACCCCCGCCCGTGCACGAGGCACCCGCAACCTGGCAGCTGCCTGCCCGGGCCGCACAGGACAGGGCAGGACCATCTGAGCCCCCTCCCCAAACAGACTTCGGGGGGTTCCCCATGGTCCAAAGCAGCTCTGTCGGGACCCGGCCCCACCTCGTTGCATGGGCCTCCAGACCGTCGGGGGGTGGGGGCGGTAGGCCGGCCCGTCTCCAGCCTCGCACGGCAGACTCCTGCGGCCAAGGATGAGGCAACTCTAGGGCACTGGGGGGCCTCCTGTCCTGACCCTCTGAGGAGGCCCAGCACGTGCCTCGCCCATCCCCACCTGGACTCACAAGTGCACCACACCTGCCCCCTCTGTCCCTCCCCTGTCACACTTGTGCTCACACATGTTGCACCTACCTGTCACACCTGTCTTCATACCTGTGCTCACACCTGTCAGTCTCACTTCTCACACCTGCTACTCCTGTGCCTCTGCTCAGACGGTCCTAGAAGTCGTGACCCCTTTCCCTGTCCCCTAGGGGGTCCTGGGCAGCCCCGGATGCTGCTCTGTGGCATTGGGGCCACGGGCTTGTGCCCTGGAGAGGGAGGAGTAAGAGGCAGCCGTCCAGTGGGGACTCGCCCAGCAGTGAGGACAGAAACAGTGAGCCCTGGGCACAACCAGCCACGGGGTGTCAGACGGAGATGCTTAGGAGAAGAGCTGAGGGAAGGGCTGTGAGTTCCTGCCGGCTCCTGGGCATAGTGGGCATAGCTGACACCGGGGCCCAAGGTGGCTGCTGTGGCCACTGCGTGTGCTGGTCTCCTCTACCCCCAGACCCTAGCAGAGACTGGGAGACCCCAGGAGCTTCCCTGCCCAGCCCTCTGTCCCAGCAGGATGACCTTTCCACATAATGACTTGGGAAAGGTGTGGGGGTAACAGAGTGCTGGGGACAGCCCCTGTGGGCCCTAGCTCAGTGACACTGGCTGAAGGCTGTGGCAGAGCAGGTCAGTGGGTGAGCTCAAGCCCAGTGTCTCTGTGACAGGTTCAGCGATGACATAGCCTGCATGACTGGGAGGCGGCCTGGTCTCTACTGGCGGGTGACCTGGAAGGTCATCAGCCCACTGCTGCTGCTGACCATCTTCGTGGCCTACATTGCTGTCCTGGCCTGGACACCGCTGAGCTACAGGGCCTGGGATCCCCGATACGTAGGTCCTCTGGAGGGCGCTGGGAGCCACTTTGGGCCTGCCCTGGCCCTTCTCTGGTGCCGTCCAGGGCCCAGATATCATCCTAAGTGACTTCATGGGCCGCCAGATGTCCAGAGTCCCCTGGGGGCATCAGAGCCGACCCTGGCAGGGACTTGGGCAAGGCTCAGTGGCAGGAGGACTGAGCAGCCTCCAGGTCCCCAGGGCAGCTCAGCCGGGGACGAGGCCTTGAGACGCGCTGCTCAGGCGCTGTGGGGCCGCCCGTGCGCACCTGCTCCTGGTCTGAGTCGAGGGAAGGTGTGTGTGTCATCGGGCTGCCGCTGAGTGTGTTCCAAAGAAAGGGAGCACAGGGTAGTCTGCTGCCAGCCCTTCCCTGTCCCCTGGGCGGCACCCTGAGCTGCAGGGACCCCGCCGACCTGCCACCCATCGCGTCCCTCCAAACCTCACTGAGCGGTCCCTTCTCGGGAGCACAGAAATCATTTGTTCCAAGCCCTCCTTATACATGTGGCCCCACGTCGGCAGCGGTAGGCGAGGGAGGAACGGCACCATGGTTTTCAAGAATTTTCATGACAATTGTCCTGTCAGATTCCCACACTCGTGCCTCATGGTGACCTCAGAAGAGACGCCTCACGTTGTGTGGATGATGTCACCATCTCTTACAGAAGCGGGAGCGGGACACGGGGTCCAGCACGGCCCCGAGGCCGTGCAGCCCCTCAGAGTGGTGGGGGGCGCTCCACAGATGGCCCCAGATCTCAGACCGGGGTCTCAGGGACCCCATCCCCATGAGAGGCTCAGCCCCAAACCTGAACGTTTGGGTCCCCGGGTCCTCGCTGCTACCGCCCCCCACCCCCACCCCAGACTGAGTGAGCCTGTTTCATGTCAGGAAGAGGCCGGATGAGGCGGCCGACACCACTCAGTCCCTGTGGCCAAGGGTCAGCCTCACCTGCCCCTTCCCCAGAGTCTCACCTATGGTCTCGTGTCCCCACAGGCACGGTTCCCGTCATGGCAGGAGAAGTCGTACCCGGGCTGGGTGCAGGCCACCTGTGTCCTCCTGTGCTTCCTGCCCGCACTGTGGGTCCCGGCTGTGGCACTTGTCCAGCAGCTCGCCAAGCGCAGACAGAAGCAGGACACCTGGCAGGATGGGTGTCCGAAGCCGCAGGATGGAGGGGCCAGCTGAGGGTCGGGCTGGGGGTGGCGGGGGGACCGGCCTATGGGCCTCCTGCTGGCAGAGAGCTGGACCCCATTACACACTTGCCCAGACCCTGACCTGTGGCTGCTGCTTCCCAACCCCACTGCGTTCCGCCGACCCTGCTCATGGCACAGCCCAGCTCTGTGACCACAGTCCGCGCTGTCCCTCTAGCCCCTGGGGCCCTGCCCTCTGGGGTGACACACGGAGCTATCTGTGGGGCTGCACACTGTGCCCAGCGAGTCCACGTAAGGGCCGAAGGGCAGGCGAACCCCGAGGCCAAGCGGCTGGCAGAGCGGCCCGAGGAGGCGCAGGTCACAGATCTGCAGCAGGGCGCGTGGAGGCTGTTCCCGCGGCGGACGGGAAGGGCAGCCCCTTTCTGTGCCAAGACCACTTGGGACATGGGCGGTCTGTTGGGATCTGTATGGACCCTCTCGGGAAGCTGGGGCCCGGGTCTGTGTCGAGGCCCAGGCCTCCCGTGTGCGGGGCACCCTCACTGCGCCCACAGCATGGCTCCTCCTGCCCCAGGACAGGTCCTCCCTGCACGAGCACAGGCAGGTGCTGGACGCTCTCCTGACCTTATTGCTGAGAAACACCACTCTTTGTTCTTTAAAAATTTTCTCAGAGACTCAAATGTGGGTCAAGAAAGTACAAAAAGGCTGATTCTCTCTCGTCCGTGAAGCAGGGATCAGGTCTCAGGTGCTGGCCCCGACACACAGGCTTGCTCCCGACTTGTCGCAGCTGTGTGCGCCCTTCATGCTGCTGGGATCAAACCCCGGGAAGACGCGGAACCCGGTAATGCAGAGCAGCGAGACGCTGTCCAGGGTGCTGAAACTGTCCAGGGTGCTGAAACGCCGCCATGAGCCTGGTCCAGACGTGCTTGCTGGGGCTGCCCTTGTCTAGGCCGCCCAGACCCCGGGAAACAGAAGCTCCTGCTCCAATGTGCCTCTCAGAGGAGCTGAGTATTAAGATGAAGCAAGCCCAAGAACACCCCCCGAAGTGTGCCCCCGAGCCCCGTGGGTAGGGTGAGCCGTGCGATGACCCTTGGCTTGTGGCCCCTTCCTCCATCAAAAACCCAGCAAGGCCGGTGAGTCCTCGCCATGTCTTTCCAACACTGTCTCCTCATGTTGGGGTTTCCCTGAATGCGCCTGGATAATTCAGGATGATCTCCCCGTCCTGAGGTCAACTGATTGGCTGCCTAACCCCATTGCACCCACAATACCCCTGTGCCACATCAGGGAGCACTCCCAGGCTCTGCAGTCAGGGCAGGGGCACATTTGGGGCGTCATTGTTCCACTTCCCACGGTGCCTGGGGGATTCTGGGCCCACCCAGGTTTGGCGAGCCCTTCACGGCGTCCTCACAGGTGAGCAAGGTGTCCAGGTGCACGCACACACCCAGGGTCCCAGGCTCTGCGGTCAGGGCAGAGGCACATTTGGGGCATCATTGTTCCACTTCCCACGGTGCCTGGGGGATTCTGGGCCCACCCAGGTTTGGCGAGCCCTTCACGGCGTCCTCACAGGTGAGCAAGGTGTCCAGGTGCACGCACACACCCAGGGGATGGCAGGTGAGGTCCTGGGGGCACTGGCTACACCTTCCCTCAAGCCACTCTTCCTGAGCTGCACGCGCTGCCTGCACGCCACGGAACACATCAGTCAGCGAGCCTTCTAATGCGCAGCGCAGACCCAGGGAACACCGGGAAACTAGGGTCTTTTTCTTTGCCTTAAAAATCTCATTTTCACTCTTCACCTGGAGGAGGTTTAGCCATGCACATACGGATTTTAAGGAGATGAACCAGAAAGGGTTCTCAGTGAGTTGAGCCCGACCAAGCACCAGTCTTCTCGGGGCTTTAACACATCAGCAATCCCGAGTAAGATGCTGACGGGACGTCTGTACCCGAGAAACGAGACTCAAGCTGGGGACAGACGGACGGCTGACCTCTAGGGTCTGGTCCGTGACTGGAATGCCAGAAATGGGCCCCTGGGGCCTGGGAGCAGGTGGGGGCCAGTGGCAGGTCAGCTCGGGAGCCTGGTGTGGGGCCCCAGCAGTGTCCCCGCGGGCTCTGTCCGCCCCAGCGGAGCAGGTCAGCTCTCCTGCTTCTGACAGCGGGGCACCACTGCCGCCGGGTTGGCGCGCACGCTGGGTGGGGCCTGGTTCCGCTCGGCTCATCTCCGCTGCATTTACGACCGCTGCGTGGACTTGGGTCCCCCATAAATGCGTCGGCGCAGCCCCTGGGACGCCGTGCACGGCAGCGGCAGTAAACAAGGCAACGTCCACAAAGCCTGCCGTGGCAGGGCCCCAGCTCCGGAATCCCGGGCTGTGGCGCAGCGTCCCCATCTGATGGCACACTCGATGGCCACAGTCACGTGGCCCATCAGGGACATCCCGGAAGGAAGCCTTCCTGCCATCACAGAGGACAAGGCAGTGAGCCAGCTCCCTGGAGCGGCCCTTTCTTCACAGCCCCCACCCCCCGAATGGTCTGGATGGGTACACGAGTGTCTCCCACACGTGGGCTCATCCTCCACCAAGACCAAGCCAGGGCAGGGCTCAGCTTGTCCTAAGAAAGCCCGTGGCTCCACACACAACACATTCTGCCCAGGGCCACCTCATGGGGGCGATTAGGCGTGGCTCTGGCCCACCCCCCATGTGGGCCTTCTGACCCTCCATGACCTCTGGCCACTTCCCTGGTGGCCCCGGTCACATCCCCCCGCCCCAACTCTGCCCCCTACCCACGTCCAAACTCCCAACCCTGAGCTTGTGGTCACCATTGCTCAGGACAGCCCGTCCTCCCTGAGGGGGTTCTTGGCGGGTGGTCCCCCCAGCAACAGCACCAGCATCACCCAAAACTCCCTAAGGCACAAATCCTGGGCCCTTCCCCAGATCTGCTGAACAGAAATCTGTTTGGGGTGGAGGAACACCTGTGCAGTTCAAGCCCACGGGACAGCTCGGGCTGACACCTCACCGCCCAGGTCACCCATGAACGCCTGCCTTTCCCAGAAAGTTCTGTCTGGGTCACCCTGCTGCTGCCCGGTCAGGCTGACCCTCTCTTGCCACAACCTGTGGGGCCGCTCACTACCCCCAAGATCCTCCACCTAGGCCCCCGCCAGAGCCGTGATCTGGGACCCTGAGCAAAGCTCCACCCCCAAACCTCGCACCTTCCTGCAGGCCCTCGCTGTCCCTCAGCCTGGGGGGTTCCCCGGTGCATGAGCAGGAGCCCCACTCCTGCCGGCTCGAACAGCCCCTCCTGCAGAGCCCGTCCCCACGACACCTGTTCCCCGGCCCGAGCCCTGCTGGTCGATGTGTCCGGATACGAACACAGCCTCTGGGCTGAGGTGATGAAGGAGACACACAGGCACGATCGCCTGCACAAGTCCGGGGCACGAGAGCGGGAGACCAGCAGCCCGGGCGGGCGGCCAGGGCTGGACGCAGGGCAGTGGGCTACCATCTACCTCCCAAACCCTCATGTTGCGCCCCCACTGCCCATTCCAAGGAAGCCGCCAGGAGAGCCCCGGACACGGAGAAGCCAGAGAAACGTGCTCACTAGGAGACCCAGTGTTCTGGGCTTCAGGCCCTGGCTGCCCAGCCCCTCCCAGGGTCCACAGTAAGGCCAGAGTTCGCCGTAGACAGGGCGGGTGCTGGGCGGGGTCCTTCTGACTCAGGGTCTGGCTGCACCTGCCCCAGGAAGACCCCTGGGAACCCCACCAGGCCAAGGACCCCTCGCATGATGTGTGGACACAGGCACAGGTGTCTGTAATTATGGAAAACAGGACGGATGCCCACGCAGGCTGTGTTTAATACAAACGTGGAAAATGGAAGCCTCTAAGAGCAAAAGCTTGGCGTGTTCCCTCCGTGGCTCCCAGGAGTAACTGGGAGTGGCAGGTCCGGGGGGAGGAGGCCACACAGAGGAACACCACCAAGATGACACAGGGCCACCGTGTGTGGAGCAAGAGCTGGAGGGGAGGAGTCGGAAGTGGGGGTGGTGGCAGGCGCGGTGGGCCAGACACTCAGGCTCCAGGAGGCCGTGGGGGGGGGCAGGGCAAGGTCACAAGGATGGGCGGGGTGGGTCCAGTCCAGAACAGCTGACTGGGCCCTTGGCTTCCGGGCAAAGCTGAGCAGGCACAGACTTTGGACGCCGTGCGGGGACGGCTCCGGGCACAGACAGTACGGGCCTGGGTGCCGGACAGGCAGCGGTAAGGAACCACACCCACCACCAGGCACCTTCAGGGACGTGTGTGCAGACTGGAGGAGTCCCCAGCCAGGGGCGGGGCAGGGTGACAAAGGTCTACACAGGCCCGGCTCGTCAGCCCAGTGCTCCCGCCTGCCCCCTCCTGGTGGTCTGTGCCCGAAGAACACAAGGAAACCACCTGGACGGGGAGAGGTGCCGGGTGGGCTCTCCTCCCCAAGGACGTGGGGGCAGACCTCTACGGGGGGCGCCGGCCAGCAGCTCAAGTGTCAGGGTCTCAGGGGAGAAAAGGTCCAGACCTGAAGGCGAGCCGGCAGCTCCCACCACATGAAGTCACAAGGCCCGGGCTCGGGGGTCTTGGAAGTCACTCTGGGCTGCGCGGACAGGAGGTCAGTCCAAGATGGTGTTGAAGTCTGCAGTCAGGCTGGGGTCAGCCGCTGCCTCCAAGGCGGCCAGGGTCGCCCTCGGGAGCTGTCGGCACAGGTGCCCTTGGGCTGGAAGGGGACAAGCGACATGAGAATGCCCTGCAAGGCCAAGGTCGGGCAGGTGTGGTCCATCCCTGTGCAGGCCAAGCTCTGGGGGCCAGGTGGGCTGGGGTGGGCAGGACAGACTTGCTGCTGGGGCTCCCCCTGCCCATGGTGGGGCAGCCAGGGCAGAGGCCCGGGGACACAGGTTGCGAGTGTAGACGACAGCCAGGCCAGTGCGGCTGGAGGGAATGATGAGGCCTTGGCCTCTCCCCAGACCGGGGTCAAGGTGTGGGGAGGTTGAGTGAGCAGCGGGGCATGCCAGGCCCCAGGGTGAGAGCCTGCGACCCAGGGCACCTGCACCCCACCACCAGGGCTCCTGGACCCACCCACCGCCATGCAGACATGGACGACGTTGCTCACGTACACACACAGCAGGACGGGGCGCCTCCCACTTACCTGCCCGGAGTGCCCCCAAGAGACACCGGTAGGTGCCACTGTGACGAGCCAGCTTGAGCAAGAAGGCCTGGAGGCAGAGCCACCGTGCAGCCTCAGAAGGAAACAGGCCGGAGGCGCCCTTGGCCCCCAGGGACATCCCTGCGCGGGGGTGGGGGGGATGGGGGGGTGGCGGGGGGATGTGACATAGACAGACAGGCTAAGGCCACGCCCGGAAGACCATGTGCTCCGAGGTGCCCGAAGCTGCCTAGGGTCCCTGCAGCCCCGTCCACGAGCCCGTGAGCAGGGGCAGAGGCTGGGGGTCAAACGGGCAACGTCAATTCAAGGTCAGCCCCAAAACAGGCCCCAGGGAACCCTGACTCTGGGCGCTTTGGTCCTGTTCTCAAAAGCAACCCGCACCAAACGAAGTAAAACAGGCCCGAGGGACACGGCGCGGCCTGAGTTACAGACGGGCCAGCGGCTTCTGGGATGAAGCAGAGCGGGGCAGGGATGGTCCTCGGGACGCCTGGAGGAAGGCCAGGCTGCAGACCGGCTGGGGCCTCGCCTCCTCTCCACTGTGGGCCTGGATCTATGCACGAGGTCGAGAGCACCAAAGGGGGGACAGGGGGTGCCGACACCCCCAGGCCCGACAGGCGAGCTCCCAGAGCCCGCAGCCACGCCGTAAGTGTGCCGGGGAGCGCCCGTACACTGCCAGTGCCACAGGCGACCCCACAAAACCGGTCAGCCGCACCCAGTAACCCCGGCCCTCCACGCACACCTGTGTTCCTGGCTTTCAGGAGGGAGTAGCAGCGTGACGCGGTGTCTGAGATGATGCGGAGGAAGAAGGCGGGGTTCTTCCTCACCGGCTGGTCAAACGGAAACTGGAGCACACACGCGTGGAACCTGACGAAGGGACGCTTTGTGGCAGGAAAGCCCTGGGGCTGGGACGCGTGCGTGCATGTGTGTACACGTCTCTACGCGTGCGTGCTCGTGCCTGTGTGTGCAAACGCATCCCCATGTGTGCGTGCTCACGCCTGTGTGCATGCGCAAGTGTCTCTGTGCACGTGCCCCATGCGCGTGTGCATGTGTGTCTACGTGTACACATGTCCCTATGTGTCTGCGCGTGCCCGGGGCCACAGGACAAGCCCCCCCAGGTGGCTCCTGCTCTCGCTGACCACCCGGGCCCCTTCTGGAGTAGCGGGCTTGTGCTTTGCTCGCCCAGCACCTGACTTCACACGCACGATAACCCGCTGAGGCGGGAGACCAGAGACCTGGAAACAACAGTGCACGCCTCTAGGTCACACAGACTTGCCCAGGCTCAACACGATGCCCGGCCCCTTGTCCGCCCCCCGGCTCCCGTGTCCATCTGTCCTGACTGTGGCTGGAAGTTAGCGGCTCCCTGAGCAGCTAGGGGCAGGTCTCCCTTGCAAACCAGACCAAAGCCTGGCTTTGTGTCTGAGGCCACGGCGGCCACCGGGACACCTAGGTCAACATGGCCCAAGGTGGCAGTGTCCCCCAAAGAGCTATAGGAAGGCACGAGAAGGGCAGGGCCCCACAACTGCCCAGCCACGCCCCAGTTCTCAGCAAGATGACCTGGAGCCACCCAGGGGCCAGGAATGTTCCAGAAGCACACGGGGCCTGAGATGTTCCTGTTAGAGGGACAGGAATGACAGCTGGGCTGTTTGTGGGCCACAACCCTTTCTGTGGGGACATCAGAGGGCCGTGGACCCTCCCCTGTCCCTGCCTAATCATCTGCTCTCCGGGACCTGAGCCCTGCGGTGTCTGCCTTCACCTCTGCACGCGGGCTGCCTGCATCTGCCTCGCGCCCCAGGCCCCTGCAAGGGTCCTGCTCAGTGCACAAGAGCGGGGACACCCAGGCCACACTGGCCGCCCACTGCTGCCTGGTGACAGGTCAGACGCCTCCAACCACGCGAAGTGCGCGCGCACACACGAAGCCGCGAGTCTGCAGTGAAAACCCGGCATATGCCGCATCCCGCAATCCTGGGACACCGGGGGGCAGGGCGCACTGCCAGGCTGAGGGAGGGCCGGGGCTGCGACGGTCCTGTGGTGTGGCCGTGCGGCCGGGGAACCCACCTGTAGGCCTGCAGCAGGAATATCTTGTAAACGTTTGCATAAACCGTGCGGACGCTGTTCACCTGGTCACAAAGACAGAAAGACGCTGCGACCACGTCTGGAATTTAGATGTGGGTCTCGCGCTTTATCACCAGGTCAAAGCCAGGCCGTGGGCAGTGGGGGCAGGGCTGCTGGCGGGAAGGACCCGCAGGCAGGGATGGGGAGGTGAGGGCTGAGCGGTCCTCAAGCCGGGGCCCCAAGGCCTTGGACGCCCACCATGGGGAGGGGCCTGACACCCAGAACGCCCACCGCGGGGAGAGGCCCCAGGGTCCGGAACGCCCACTGCCCAGAACGAGGGGCCGCGGTGGGGGCTGGAGACATCTGCAGCCGGGTTCCCAGACACAGGCTTGCACACACACACGCGCACACACGCGCACGCACACGCACACGAGCCCCGCGCCAGGTACGCGCACCTGCAGGTCCAGGAACAGGGCGCAGCACTTGAGCCGCAGGAGCGCAAACAGCTTGTACCGCAGGCTCCTCCCGGGCCGGGCGCCCTGGCTGAAGGTCAGGCTCGAGCGGATGGACGTGCGGGCGTAACTGCGGAACAGAGCGGCCCGCGCTGAGCTGTGTGACCTCCTCGAGGCCCGCCTGCCCGCGCTGTCCGGTGCGCAGTGACCGCCCTGCACACGGTGGTGTCCACCCGTGCCTGGTGCCGCCCTTCGGGGAGGCCTGGGCCACGGGGTCGCAGATGGGCGGGGCCCCTCTCCCCCGCACCGCACGCACTGGGCCATGGTCCGGGTCCCGAGCGTGTTCGCCCTTAGCGGCCCATGGCGCAGAGCCAGTAAAGTCCACGCGACTCAAGTACACGTGTCTGTCACGTGCGAACACACGCCTCCCTGCGCGGCTTCCCGGGGAGGGTCCGAGCGGGGCGCGGGTCCCTTGAGGCCACAGCCCCGTGCCTTTCGGCTGCCTGGAGGACTTCTCGCAGGAGGATGGCGTCCCCTGGAAGGCCTGACCCCGAGGGCGAGGCTCGCGCGTGTGCACAGAGAGTGGGAGGAAAGTTGCCCGCTCACACCACAGCACGGGGGCCCAACCACGGGGCATCCCTGCAGCCAGCTGCGGAGGTGCCCGGGTGCCCTGTGTAGTCTGTGCGGGGGGAGGCCGTCCTCAGAGCTGGTTTCGAGCACCGAAGCTCTAGGGCCATCTTCCGTCTCACTGAGCGTGTCCACCGCGGTCTCAGTCGTACAAGGGCTTCTCCGGGGAGAGGTTAGCCGCCACCGCCACCACGCTGCCTTAGCTCAGTGACTCTCGCTGCGCAGCCAAGCAAATCTCCAATGACGTCCGTGACTTTTGCTTCTAGAGAACAGATTTCTGAAAGTGCACTTATGGGCAAAAGGTACGAATGTTTCAAGGACTTTAATACCAAATTACTGCTTTCCAGAGAACTCACTGGTGTTTGCCCTCAGAGACATGCCCATGTGCCTGGGCCCGACGGGAGCACCGCCGAGGTAGTGGGCGCCTAGGACGGGAGCTTCTCTGGCGGTGGGCAGAGCCTGGCGGAAGCACCTCCACACGCTGCCCCCTCTCCTCCATGACCGCGTCCATCGCGACCTTGCTGCAAGCCTCCGTGTCTGACCTCTGCAGAGCTCGGGGCCACGAGGGAGGCCCTGTTGGCAGGCCCGGGTTTGAATCCTGCACCGTGCTGCTGGGTGACAGGGGCAGGTCCCTTGTCTGCGCTGAAAGGACACATCTGAAGTAGCAGCGGGCCCCACAGCCCGCACTCGGCGAGGCCACTCGCACTCGGAAGCACTGTGACCGTCTCTGCCCCAGGTGCTCAGGGCCGCGGGCTGCGTCCTGCTTCCTCGTCCCTGTGCCACACCGGAGGACCTTCCTGTCTTCTGAGTCCCTCTGCACTGTCTCTGCTGGTTTGTTTCCTGCGCCCACCCAGAACTTGCTCCCAGGCGTGCTGAGACGCACCGGCGCGTCCTTGTGGGGCTTCTCAGAAAACCAGCCGTCTTCCCCTCGCTCCCCTGCGGCACCACGGCAAACTCGCTCGTGCTCGTGCACCCCGCCTGCCGCTCTGGCCGCCTCGCCCTCGCCCGGGCTGGGATTTGGGGAAGGCTTGGAAGTCTGCGAGACAAGCCCGCCTTGTCGCTGTCCCTTCCAGGACGCTTCTCATCCTTCTCGCATCTCCCCGCCCCTGCCTGGCCCCCACAGCCGAGCCTTCAGGGCGGCATCTGTGAGCAGGTGTGCACCGAGAGGCCCTGAGCAAGCATGGCAGCCCCCGACACCCACTTGCTCTCGGGCACTGTCACCACCCGGCAAGTCGCCAAATGGGATGCCAGGCTGGCATGGCAGTGCCCGACCCCCAAATGGCCCGTGTTTCTTGGGGAGCAGAGAGCTGGTCAGGGCCGGATGGCAAGGGAGGGCTGGAGGCCGGGGCAAATGAGCCGCGTCCCAGGGATGAGGAGAGACCAACTGAAGATGGGGGCAGACAGAGCGGGAAAAGGGGGCTGGGCTTCACACACACAAGCAGAGACGTGGGTCCACAAGGGGAGGTGGGGCCCGCAGAGCAGGCTGGGAGAGCGGGAAGAGCACCATGGGAACAAGCAGGATGGTGGCGCGCTGACCAGCGAAGGGAAGCCCCCCCCACCGCAAGGCCGTGGAATCGGGACTTGGTGCTCACACAGGAGCGCGTTCCTGCACCCACGCCCGTCCCGAGTCTGCGTCCGCGCCAAGCCCGGGGTCACACTGGGAGCTCTCGGGCTCAGGGGAGACTGGCCATGAGGGGCTGATCTGGGTCCTCAAATCCACATCACAGCCCCAACTCACGTGACACGTGGGTCATGTGGGAACTGATTAAAGCTAAGGTCGTAGGTGGGCCCTGACCCTGATAGACATCCTTGGAGGAAGAGAGACGTGAGAGATGCCTGAGCAGAGATGGACGAGAGAACACGGGGAGACCACGGCAGAGACCACGAGGAGAAACAACCCTGCCCACACCTGGATCCTGGACACAGAGCCCCCACGAAGTGAGAACAGCAAGTCTAGGGGAGCTGCTGGTCCGCGGTATTGCTCACAGCAGCCCAAGCTCACCGGGACAGGATCCCACGTGCTACGTACACGGCAGGCCCTATGCACCACAGCCGTGCTCCCCAGGGAGGCCACGCTGTGCGTTACGGGGTGTCCTCGGGAGCTTGTGCCCAGCAGGTCCCCAGACCTCTGAACTCAAGATTTACAGTGTCCCTGCAGAACACACCGGTGACCCCCGTCTCCTGCACAAATTCTTCTTACCAAGAAAAGCCCAGAAAACCCCTCACCTAGTGAGGGCGCTCAGTCCCAAGGAGGATGTGTTGTTGCCCCATCTGGGTGGGACGCTGGGCACCCCTGACCTGTGATCCACCCGTCCCACACGGAGGCAGAAACGGGGGCATGCCACGCTGCATCCCCTCTGCGGCCGCACTCACCTGGAGTAGTCACAGGACACCTCCAGGGTCTGGGTGTCCAGCAGCAAGCCACACCAGGGGAACAGGCAGTGGGCCGGCAGCTGGAGGGGTGCCGCGCTGCCCAGGGCCATGTCCTCCACGGGAAAGTTCACTGCCGTCTTCTGCAAGTTCGCCAAGCAGCCATACTCGGGGACGCCCCTGACCAGCGTCCTGAAGCAGAGCGGCCAGGTCAGCCCCTGGGAGGAGGGGCACCGCCAGGGGCGCTGGGGCACTCATGTGGTGGGATGGCCACGGTGCCGAGCCGGAGGGAGCCGGAGCCAAGGGCATGGCGGCGGGTGTGGGTGCTGCCCTGGGGAGTGGGGCTGCTTCCCCGGAGTCCCTTGGAAGTTGGGGCGCGCAGCACACTGGGCAGACGGCAGAGGGGCTGTGCTGCACACGCAGGAAAAGAAGTGAGGCCGTGACTGTGCTCGTGGGGCTCCCCTTTCTCCCTTTAGGCCACGTGGGGGACACGGTCTGTCCGGACTTGCTAAACAGAGGTGCTACAAGGCCTAGGCCCACGTGGGGGTTGGTTATTTTGCCAGAATTAAATCGGGCACATGGAGCCCTCAGTGCCGTCCTGCTCAAGCCCTGGAGTCCAGGGGCTTCCTTTCAAGCGTGGTTTTCCAGGGGAGGAGAAAGTGCGAAACCGAGGGGGCTTTGCTCTGGTTGCTGGCGGTCTATGGACAAACCTGTCACCGCGAGCCTGGCCACAGGGGAGTCCCCAGGCTCTGAGGTAGCACGAGTCCCGCAGACACGCCCCAGGGCCACCCTCCGCCCGGCAGCCTGCACGGGGCATCCAGCAAATGTAAATCCGCCTCGCGACGGGGGCTGTTGCTCCAGGAGGGGTCAGCGGCCCCCAGGCATTGGGAGCGCCACGGGACACGTGTGGGGGACTCACCTGAGGAAGGCCTGTGCTCGCTTCAGGTGGGGCGTGACGAGCAGGAAGTCGTCCACCAGACGCAGGAGCAGGCTGCAGGGCATGGGAGAGCCGGGGCTGCGGCAGGGTCCCCGTTCACGAGGACAGGTGCAAAGTCACTTCCCCCAAAGGACTGAGACAAAGGCTGACCTCGTGGGACGTGGGAGTGCCGGGGGCGCATGGGCAGGGACACAGCCGCAGGTCATAGCCCGTGGAAACAACAGTGCTCAAAGCTACCTCTAAGCCTACACTCGAGACCCACTCATGACCCCCCATGTGACTGGACACAGAGCCACAGACCCCTGTCCACACCCAGCGGACCCGAAACGCAAGGTGGAGGCGGAAGCAAGTCGATACAGGTGCACCGTGAGGTCCGTACCCGTCCTGCTGGATGCCAGGAAACAGCCTGCGCTCCATGTCCCCGTAACACAGGCTGCACAGCAGGGTGGACAGGACGGAGCCCTGTGGGATCCCCTGACACTGGACATACGACCTGGGGGACAGGACGCAGGTAGGAGGAGGCCCCGTGGGCCTCGCACTCATTACAGACACACGTGCACGCAGACCACAGACACGCAAACCACGCACACGTGGAGACCCACCACATGCAGACCAGCACGCGTGTGGACCATGTACACAGACCACAGACACACAAGTAGAGCACGTACACAGACCACAGACACGCACACAGCCACGCACATAGACCACACACGCATGGAGACCACACAAGCACAGACACACGCGCTGGTCACGCACCGGCGCACAGACGTCACACACACAGCAGAGTGCATGTGGATCAAGGACCACTGTGCACCCCACGAAGCCCTGACAAATGTCTGTTTACTCGTGCAACTGTCCACATGGGTCTGACCTGTTTCTGTAAAGGTCCCGCAAGCAGAGAAGCAGGTGGGGCGCCTCTGAGGGAGCCCCGGGGGTTGGACACAGCAATGACCTGTGCCTCAGAGCAAGTTCTCCTCCGGCCTGGGTGCTGTGGACAAGCACGCGGCCTCTGGGAAGGCCGGCCCGCAGTACACCCATCAGCCGTGATTCCCAGGACGCGTTTCAGATGTAATTACAGGTAACAAGTGCCATAATCAGTCATAACATGATAATAACTACACATTCTCTAACTAAAAAGCTTCTGATTCCCAGAGCACCGGGAATGATCCCCGGGAAGGTGCCCACATCTCCAGCCGACCTCTAATGGCCTTGGCAGTGAGCCTGAACCCTCACGACCAGCGCTCTCACCCCACACTGGGGTCCCCCGTGGGCACTCACCCAGGAAAGTCTGCTTTTGTTTCTATAAAATAAAGAAATTATCTGTGGCATTTAAATGCCAAAGGACTTCCCAAACCGCAGGAGCCCCGTGGCCACAGGGTGTGCAGGTGACAGCAGGAAGATGGCAAGGACCCCAACTCACTTGCCCCCGATCCTTATGACGTGGTTGTACACCAAGCTCAGGAAAAGGTGGAAAAGGCCGCTGCTGGCTTCGTTCAGAGAGTAGCTCTGCAAGAACAGATGGACGTGTGGGCGGGCGGGACGGCCACGGCAGGCAGTCCGTGACTCTGGCCGGGCTCGAGCCTGTGGGTGCCGGCCCAGAGGGCACGTTGCAGTGTGTGTCCCTCAGCGGAGGCAGGAAGCCGGCAGCCAGCGAGCACAGGTCTGCATGTCTCCGAGCCTCGGTGGCCGGACCGGCTCATCCCCATCCCTGGTTCTGCTAAAGGCCACAGAGCCACGGGGCTGAGCTGTCCCCGAGGGCCCTCAGGAGCAGCGCCCGCTTACAAGCAGGAGGAAGGCGTTTTCCCCAGAGGGTCAGGTTCAGGTGGGGACACAGGGTGAATCCAACTCGTCCTCCCCTTGGGGTGTGTTGTCGTTCAGCCTCAAGATCAAAACCGACGGAGAGGAGGTCTCGAGCTTACCACGAGGAGGACTGCTGCTGGACCGCAGCAGACAACCTGGCAGCGTAGATCCCTAAGAGGCTGCCCCGGGGCCCCTCCAGCCGGAACCAGGGGCTGCCACCGTGTCCACGCCCCGCCCCGGCACGCACCGCGGCCGCCTCGCCCACCTGCTCGATAACCACAGAGTCCCTGAGCGAGCTCGTCTCCTGCAAACGCTCCACAAACTGTCTCATGTACGGCGGGAGGTCTGTGAAGGTGGACACCTGCCGGCAAAGAGGAGTGGGTGAGACAACTGCGCACCCCGGCCAGGCGGGCGGAAGCCACGTCGCAGGAGACCTCGTCAGCGCCGGGGATGAGCAGGTGCCGTCTGGGAACAGCAGGCCGCAGCGCTGGGAGCAGGTCCAGACCGCGGAGCTCGGGAACCGTCCACCTGGTCAGTCCCCTGTCTTTCTCTTTGGGGGGGTGTCCTGCCTTCCCAAGACCCCTCCCTGACGTCTGAACCTTCACCGTGGGAGGTGGAGCCCAAGCAGGAGGCAGTGGGGGTCCCGGCCACCCAAGCAACCAGGACGGAGGAGCTGGTCTGGGGCAGAGAAAGGAGCCAAACTGCCATTTCTTCCCTAGTCCCACTGCCTCCGGGCACTGGGAGCACTGGGGGCTGCTGGGAAGGGCCGCTGAGGCAGTGAGAGGCCGCGGCGGGGACCTGGGCGCGCTCTGGTGAGCATAGGGGCCACGGCGGGGAGGGGGGCGGGGGGCCAGCGGCCAGCACCATCAGAGCAAGGCGCTCACCGCTCCCTCACTGTTGGGGGAGTCAGTCTCCTCTGCAGAGAAAACCAGGATTCTGCGAAACCTATGGTTCACGGGCTTCGTTCAAGGCTGGCCCCTCACAGACAGCAGCGGCGGGAGTGACCACGAGGGAGACCACAGCGGAGGTGCCGGGGACCTGCCTGAGGACAAGGCTGCTACCGAGTGGCCGGGATTCAAAAATCCGTCAAGACAGACAACGAACAACACAGCGAAACAAGGAGAAAGAAAGAGGACACAGAGAGACGAGTCTGAGAAACCCACCCCGCGCACGGGGAGCTGAGGGCAGGGCCGGCGGGCCCAAGAGCCCGAGGAACGGGCGGAACAGGCGCTCAGCGCGAGCCGGCGGAGACCCTGAGCGGGAGACAGCGGAGAGAAGCCGTGCACAAGCCCCCGCAGGCGTCCCGGAAACCAGCCCTGGTGCACGGAGCGCTGAGCGCAGGAGCTGCGCCCACGGAAACGCCCGATGGCATCGCCACCGCGAGACACAGACAGCGGAGCAGAAAGGACACGGCGTCAGCCACCCGCCCCTGCCAACCCGGCTCCACCGACGTGAAACACTTCTGCTCATCCAAACATCCCGCTTGTTACCAAAAGGGCAGAGACAGACGGAGAAGGCACCTGGGGTGCCTCAGCAGCCTCGGACCAAGGGCTGGCACCAGACACGGGAACACCCCCAGAAGTCCATGACAAGCGGCTCGCGACTCGTCACAAGCAGGAGCTGGCCTCGTGGGCCTCTCACACACGGGGATACCCAAGTGGCTTCCGCAGGGCGCTGGGCAGGCACGTCGTGGGGATGCTGGCTCCGGCACAGTGCGGCCGCCCTGATTCCATGGCCGCGGGCTCAGCCGGCCCCGGCCGCACACGTGGCAACGTGGTCAGTACGCCGACCCGGCATGGCTCCGCCTCAGCACCACCACCACAACGAGCGCTCTCGCCCACGGACCACCCGTCGGGGGAACGCCTGGCCCACCCTGGGCGCCCCCGATGCCCGCCCAGCAGGAGGCAGAGCCCCGCCAGGCAGCGTCGGGGCCACACAACTCCGCCCACGACCGGAGAGTGAAGGACCGCCACCCGCGTTCGGGCTCGCCTTGGAGCAGAGGGAACCAGACAGGAAGGGCACGTTCCACCCATCACATTCATGGACTTCGAGACAGGTCCATGAGTCCACATGGCTGACGTCAGAGCAGGGGGCACCCTGGAGAGGGGCAGGGGGTCTGGTGGGCACCTGTGATGTTCTGTGTCTCAACCCCGTGGTGGCTGCCACCTGCGCCACACGTGTAAACCCCCCATTCCTCACAGGCTCAGGATTTGCAAACCACACTCAGCCTCACGCCGCAGGTGCTCACGGGGGCTCTCCCCAGACTTCCCAGGTCGGCGCCTTCCCCTTGGCGGCCTTCTGCGTGCCCAGATCAAGTGCTGCTCCGCAGGCCTGGCTGCTCTGACGGTTGGCGGAGAACTGCCACATGCTGACCAGGCCACTTGTCCTTTCCCAGGCCCGGGGAAGGGGGGAGGGGCACCCCCAGACCCTCAGCTCTGCTGTGTGGGCAGGGACAGCGAGTGAGGCCCAGACGTCCACGTGGTGCTCTCCTCTCCCGCAGCGCTGGCCCATGGGGCTCACTCTGCCCTCGGCATGACCTCGGGCCAGGCCTGGGCTCCCACAGGGTGTCTGCAGGGACATCAGCCCCGCCGCAGCTGGCATCCCGGGGGCCCTGCTTCTGTAAAGGGACACCAGGAGGCAGCGGCCCACAGGATGAGAAGACTCGGACGTAACAGCAGCGAGAGCGTGGGACGACTTCTGGGGCTGGGTAGAGGGTGGGCAGACCCACGGCACGGACACGTGCACACGACACCCTCGCCGTGGAGCACATGCCCCGTGGCTCTTACATGTCTCTTGAAGGACCTGCGGACGTGCCCCTGGGCGGTTCTCCGGACCACGGCGTAGCGCCTCAAGCAGTAGGTGTTTTCATGAGGCCTGAGCACGTTGGCGACGACCTCGGCCAGCCTGTCCTGGGGCAGGGCATCATACGCCCCCGTCACGTCCACCTGTGCGGGACGGATGTGCTGTTTACGTGCTGCACCTGGGGGCCCCTCGGATGCGGGAGGACCGAGACACCCTGACCCCCCCACCGTCTCCCGTTCCCGTGGCACACACCTGTTCTACGGCCCCCAGACTCAGCAGCTGGAAATGTGATGGGGCTTCCCCAGGGGATGCCCCGTTAGTGCAAACTCAGGGAACGAAGGCCAGCCACAGCCCATGACGCACGGTCAGCTGGTCGGGAGGACCGCTCCCGCAGGCTGGACGTGCCCAGCTGGCTCACTCAGGCATGGGCTCGGGACGGAACCGGGCACCCACCTTGACGAAGTACAGGCGGGGCGCTGGATCCCGGGCCCGCACACGCAGCACAAAGTCGTGCCAGGCCCTGTGGATGTCGTCCATGCCCAGCACAGAGGCCCCCAGGAGTCTGGGGCGCCGGGCCCGCTCATAGTTCAGCACGCTGAACAGCGTCTTCACTTGCGAGGTGAGATGCTGGATCTGTGGAGCCGGCCCGGGGCAGGGGCAGCACGCCCCGAAGACGCCCATCACACAGGGGCCATGTCAGACCTCCCTGCCCCGGCCTGCTGGGCCCCCCAGGCCCAGCACCCTGCCTCTGTGCCTCCCCTAGCCCACCCAGCATCCCCGAGACTCGACTCCAGAAGGGCCAGAGGACCGATCGCCCCACACATCCTCAAACCCTGGCTTCTCCCTAGGGATCCGCTACAGGGTCTGGGAACCATGGAAACTGCAGCTGCAGGCGTCTCTCTTCTCCTCCCACCGAGCCCCCCGCCAGACGAGGCAGGGACCCTGCACCCCAGCATGGAGGAGCGCCCCTTCACGCACAGACCCAACCAGGTCCCCAGTCAACATCAGCAACCTTGCTTTCTCATCCAGGGACACACAGCGACAAAATCACCCCCACTCTGTGGAACCACTCAGAAAGGGTCAGAGCTCTGGTGACAGAGATGCCATTGGCAGGGACCACGAAGTGTGCTAGGCACAGGGGTAAGATCCCGCCGAGGGGTGCGAGACACGGGGGTGAGAACTGTGGGGAGGGGTGTAAGGCACCGGGGTGAGATCCCACTTGGGGGGGTGCTAGGCACAGGGGTGAGATCCCACAGCAGGGGAGGGGTATGCTAGGCAGGGGGGTGAGATCCCGCCAGGGGGTGCTAGACACGGGGGTGAGACCCATGGGAAGGGGTGTAAGGCACGGGGGTTAGATCCTGCAGTAGGGGTGGGTGTGCTAGGCACGGAGGGGAGGTCGTGTGGGTCACTGGAACACCAGCCGGCTAGTGGCAGATGAACGACCCAGTTCTCTGTCGTTGGCTCACAGGGAGTACCGAGTTCCCTGCAGCAGCAGGATCCCAGAAGCCAGGGGCTCGGTGTGGCCAGCTTGTGTCACAAGAACCTGTGGGTCCCCAGGGTCTGCCTAGCATCCTGCAGGCCTGGCCTTCCTACAAGCTCCTTGTCTAACCATGGGCACACGTCCCATCAATGCAGCCTGACCGCCACGGACCTCCTCCTGGCCTCCTGTCTACCTGCACACCGAGCCGGGGATCCTGGGCTCCTGACTTAGAAACGAAACAGCAGCGCTGACCTTCTTGTCTCGGCACAAGGTTCTGGCTCCCGCCACATAGTCCATGTTCACGATCGGCCGCAGCCCACCGGGCTTGGGGAGGAAGCGGAGTCTGGACGTCAGGAGAGTCGCCCTGGCTTCGTGCTGTCTTCGGACCTCTGCGGCGGACAGCTCTCGGAGGCGCACGCTGGTGCAGTGCTGTCTGAAACACAGAGCCTCGTGGGCCGCGGCTGGGCGGGCGCGCGGGAAGCGCAGGGCGGGGGGCCTGCCTGAGAGCAGCCGGGCTCCTGAAGCGCCAGCGCCAGACGCCAGTCACCCAGGACGCCGCAGCCGGCCAGCTGGAGGAGCCCCCTTCCACAGTGGGTGCCGGACACCAGGTTCCCTCCAGGCAGAGCCCTGGGAGGCCCAGGCAGGAGCAGCCGGGACCCCTGAACAAGGATGGGCGAGGGGGTGACCGGTGCGGCCCCCCAGAGGAATGGAACCATCTCTCCGTGGGCCTGCCAGCTCCCCGCAGCCTCTTCCCCACCACCGCCCACAGGCCGGCCCCAGCAAGGAAGCGCGGTATGCGAGCCCAAGCCCCCATGGGGCCTCCGATGTCCGCCAGGCAGAGGGACAGTTTCCACAGTCCCCACAAGGACTCTCAGGAGCCACGAGATATTTGAATCATTACACAGGCCACACTGTTACATTGAACCCACAACAGAGGCTGCCCGACCCTCTCCCAGGTGCCGAAGGACACAGCCCAGCTCCCTCAGCGGAGATGCCCTGACTCAGGTCACGGGCTTGGCCCAAGTGTGCAATGCAGCCCAGGAACCCCAATCTCGCCACTTTGGGGCCTTGCCAAGCCCTGTGAGGACACAGCCTCCTGGCCAGGGCTTGTCCTTCAGACTGGCAGACCGTCCCTGACGGGATCCCGAGCCAGCGTGTGGCCAACACACTCCTTCAGACGGACATGACACAGCCCTGCAGATGAGCCGAACAGCCACTTCGGCAAGGCAAGCTGGAAGGTTCTGCCTCGGGGGCCCCTGCCCGAAGCACGCCTGTGTGCCAGATCCTGTCTGCACGCCACCACGGCCAAGACCGTCCCGCTCATTCTGTGTGAATTCGAAGAGCATCTGACCCACGTACCAGGTCAAGCCAACGACCTGCCTGTGAGGTTGTTTCCATTCAGTACAACCTTCTCCCCTTTTAAGAGCCCGGACCCCAGGTGGCCCAGACTCTGACATCTCAGGTGAATGAAGGGGGCCCCAGGAGTCTGTGCCCAGGGTGGGACCCCCAGTGAGGGGTACCCGGAGGCATGGAGCCAGCTGGGGGGTCAGGACACGGGGCTGTCACCTGCACACACAGAGGAGGACGGGACACGGGGCTGTCACGTGCGCACATGGGGGACAAGACAGGGAGCTGTCATCTGCGCACACGGGGGGACGGGACACGGGGGCAGTCACCTGCACACACAGGGGGGCGGGACAGGGAGCCGTCACCTGCACACACAGGGGGGCGGGACAGGGAGCCGTCACCTGCACACACAGGGAGGCGGGACAGGGAGCCGTCACCTGCACACACAGGGGAGCGGGACAGG